TAGACAGTGAAGTTTAACTAAATATTAAACATGTAACCAAATTTCTGTTTTGGTGTGAATTACTTATTTACATTCTTTTGTGGTAATCTTGGAAAATGTTGCTGCTGTAACTACCAGACCTTGATAAAACTCTGACAAAATGCCATATATGGGGTGTTTAATGTCACCCACAACATGTATCATTTGAAAGCGAATCAGCTTTATTTGGTGCTATAGAACTGCAAAGTGGTATCGTTGCTATGACAACAAAGATGGATACTCCAAGTGTCGCGTAAAATATTAACATAAACATTAAGAGTGGTATATTGCACAATGAAACATACTCAATAAATGGGCAGAGAATACTTTCATGTTGCATTGCGTAAATGTGTTTCTGTGTGCATATATAGAATGCAAGTAAATGTTTCTCTGCATTATCAAACAAATGTTGCATCCTGAACGCATACTTTACATTTACGTGGTTTCTGAGAAAATGTAAAAAAATTATATAACATTAATTTTAATCAAAATATTTTGAATTCAGCCATCAAGTGGTCTCGCCAGTTTGTCATGACCTAGACAGTCGTACATACCACTTGTGGATTCGTTAGTCACTTCTGTCGTATTACCAAACGTAGTTGTTGTGTTGTAACCTCCTGTTGTTTCAGCTGCAGTAAGTAAAGTCAGAGTTGTTGATAAATTATTTGCACGAGTTTGTACTTCTACATCCGTGGTGTATAACGGTGATGATTTCGCAGTAGAAGCTATAGCTGATCCTGTTGTGAGTGGTGTTGTAGTTGCCTCTGTTGTTAATTCTTTGCCGGTAGTTTGAAACTGTGTTGTAGGGTTGACAGTGCTATGTATAATTAATGGTTGTTGGTCTGATGAGAGAAAAATGGGATTTAATGTCAGGATAATTACAAATGTGTTCAATGGCACAGTCTGTATCGTGAGCGATATGGGATCCGTGCGATAAGTGCAATGCAAATAAAATACAATGACTGCTTACACTAACTCAGAACGCGCGGTTCATAGTGATTGTGACGATTTCATTTCAAATGGGAGAGCATGTGATGTTATGCCTATATTATTGAAATGTTTTAAAAGATCTTTGAGTGATGACCTTTTTTGGTTGTAATAAAGGTTATTCAAGAGTTTTGATTGTGTGCATTTTGTTCCAGTGTTCTTTATCATATCTAGTGTAAACAGCGAATACTATAATTGTCAAAATTAAAAAGCAAGTAATTAGATTTCAAGGGTTAAATTGGCTCATGGCCTGATCATCTTAGATTTTGCATTGACCTATCAATCTAGGGCTAGTATAACTCATTATATCTTGCATTAATTATCATTATAATATGACAGGAGTGCCATACAGTTCCCGTGTGTTGAGATCTACTACAACACGCTCAGATATGTCTTTTTATATACTTACTTCTTTCACATATAGGAAGACTATTCGTGTTACATCTGATATCTTTCATATTATATTGTGATTTGCTTTCCAATATACCACACTCCCGACCCCCACCAGCTACTGGTCGACCTGCAATCCACAGGTCAGTGTACGTTAGGTTGGTCCCTGAATTCCAATGCCAGATACCGTCAGGGAGAGATGTTGCTCCGACCCACAGTTTATTTTCATTAATCAAGTTAGGATCGCCTTGTATATAATTAATAATAGATTGGTGTTCATCAAAACTATCAATTTCAGCAAGATAATAACCCAAACTAGAACATTCTGTAACTCCGGCATCCCAAGATCCTGAATTGGTACTTATGTAATAACAAGAGTCTTCAAAACCGAATTCGTCGATATCGCATGCTGAAAAGTAAATAAAACAAAAAATAAATAAAACTTACGTTGTCCTCATATATTACATAAATATAATTGTCGATCTTGTGCGTACAACAACGGAACTTAATTTGCAGTTTTGAAATTGTCAGATATTTAATCAAAAAGACGATACTAGGCCATCAGATAAACATAAAATGAAAAACAATACAGTTTTATTGAGATTTTAAAACAACACATTGACAATGGCACGATTGTTATTCAAGTTTGTGTACTATGCATAACTTAGGATAAAAGAATACCTGCATATGATGGTGTTAATATGTTTGGAAACGGTATTTCAGTTGCGATCTTCGCGGAGGCAGCTGCTGTTGCAGCTGCAGTTGCAGCTGCAGTTGAACTTGCATCAAAAGACAGAGTCTCTAAATATAAAAACGATAAATAAGTGATACACTGAATAGTGACGTAATTCTTAAATACAGTATGTAGATTGTATGGGAACAATGACCAAAAAATACGAAATGTAACATACACGAGTAATGAATTTTATAGATATTTGAAACAAAACGCATATTTCAATTTTCTGAACATGACACAGTGGAACACATTCAAAACGCGGGCAGAAATAACTTCCTTAATATATAACAATATACGTACTATCACATCATGTAGCGTTGCTTCAATGTATTTTTATGTGCGCTTTTATAATGCAAGTATATATTATTCTGCGCTATTTCAACAATTGCTGCGTCTTGGACACATAGTTTAAAGTTTTTTCGAGAAAAATCTGAGTACAATTATAATACATTTCCACTGATCTAATTATTCATATTCTGCCAATGAGTGACTATGCTGTGTTATCACGAACTAGACAGTCGTACATACCACTTGTTAGTTCGTTAGCCAATTCCGTTGTATTACCAAAC